CAAAATCCTTAAATTTTCGCTCCATTTATCAGCTAAACTGCAACGAGGTTACCGTCGTCCGTCATGATATTACCTGTGATATGTTTAACCTCTTAAATCAGTTTCAGTTCCGCCTCTTCGCAGAAAGGATATTGCCAGCGCGGAACAGTTTCTGAGAAACGGATACATTTTACATAAAAGAAAACAAAGAAAATGATCAGAGTCTCAGAGATTTCGTTTTTAAGTTCTAGCTACGAACCTTTTCATATAATTTCCACCTTTCTTTCGATAAAAGCTTTGGCTGCAGCTTTCGACGACTCGCCTTCCAAGTTAATATTCAAAGTATTCTAATAAGTGATGCATTATTTATATTTATGTGCCTATTCAAAGTATTTTAATATGTGATACATGAGTGGCCTTCCACTACACGACAAAAAATACCTCGTTCGCCCACAGTTTTACCAAACGGTGAATGCCAGAACGGTGAACGCCGGAGAACAGCAGCATATTCGGCCATTCACCATGGGAAAACACGAGAAAAAAATGGCGTTCACGACATGTTTTCTGAGGCCTAAAAAGCTCATTTGTACACTCTGTTTCCCTAACCGTTTAACATTGGTTATCCAGCGTGGGTTATCACGGTGTTTGTTTTGTGTTTTCCTGAAGCGGCTAATGTGGTGAAAACATGATATTCGACACTAGTTTCCCAGCACAAGCATAACACTAACTAACATTCCGTTTTCCTCGATGTTTTTTCCCGATTTTCTAGTGTGCTGAAATTGGTAGGAAAGCTAACCACGATAATGTGATCAGGTGCTTACTAATCGTTCCTAATACTAATAAGAATGTAAACAAAAAAATCTTAATCGGAACGGAAAAAAAAATAAGAAAAAATGTAAAATAAAATTAAGAACGCATATAAAAACAAAGAGAAGGAAAGCAAAATTAATTGGTTTAAAACCTATATATGAAAGAATAAGAATATAAATAAACCATCTAAAAGCCGATTACAAAACATATAGAAAGGAAAAAGGAAAAAACGACAAAGATATAAATAATGCGTCGCAAAAAAAAAAAAGCGTTGCTCAGAAAGCCAGTTAATCTGTGGTCAAGTGGAATTTTAGTTTCATTCAATCTTTGTCTTAAATGTGGTTTTGGCGCGCCCCCGTATTAAAGAGAATAAGGAGCGCGAAAAAATGGCCTAATCACAGTTTTATAGCGAGCACGATGCGTGGGTCACTCGCTTTTACTTGACACTTGCGTTGTCATACCCCACTGAAAAATTTTGATGGCTAAACAGGGCTTTTCTTCCTTGTTTACCATCAAGAAGAAGAGTTACACGATGACAAAAAAAGACAACAACAACAATTTCAGAAGAGACTATGGTGGAACCCCGTTAATACGACCACCAACGGGCCATGGAAATCTATCCGTATTGACGGGAGTAAAAGCATATCACTCACTTGTACTTCACACTCGCGCTCTTTTACTCCACCGATTACGCAGTCCGACCAAACAGAAGAAGAAACAAGCAAGCTGATTAACAAACGGCCGCCACGAACGGATTGACGGCCGAGGGAACAGTTACATAATTATTCACAGTTTGATCCGTTTTTAATAATCAAAACATATCTATAAATAGCACAGTTTCATTCAATCCAATCAGTAGCTAAAACTTATTTGCAACAACATGTCGAAGCGTGTGAGACATCAGCCACGCTTTTACGCAACATTATTGAATGATGTCCGCCATAGTGGCTTTAATTCGAAATACCGACCGAAGGTAAAACCTACTGTTATGGGTGTTTACGAAGTTGAACGTATTGTAGCAAAACGAGTTCAAGAGGCAGAGCAGAGTACTTCAGCCAATGGCAAAGCTACTCCTCGAGTGAAAATACGTGGGAACCAGCCGAGCACTTACCCGAGGAACTCATCACTGCCTTCGAGAACAGATCTGTCGATCCATTTCGCGCCGTTGAATGCCGAGAGAGACCAGCTCTTTTATTTGAGAAGGGTTTAAAATCGCCCCTGGCATGCAACGAAACTATCACGATACGGCACGATGTAGTGCGAGCGCTCTTTCCTGGTTTGCCATCAGACCTCCGTGGGTCTCCGTACCTCGCTAGTGAAGAGGAACTGATCGCAGCAGGCCTTGGTCCTTATCTGAAGAGGTGTTTAACAACTTTAGAATATCGGAATCTGTGGGTTTTGTATTCTTCAGTTTCCTCATAATAATGTTCGCCGCCAAAAAGCTCGGTTATTCCAAAGTACAACGTGGGGTGGATTTTTTTTTTTTAATAACATTCGAATTCTCAACACAGAAACGACATATCCATGTTAAACTTACCTGTGAGGTACTGAATAACTACAATAAGGATCGATCGTCAAGATAATCAAATGCTGCTCTAATTGTATATCCTTGGGTTTTCAAGCTTAGTCGTTCCCTCTTCAGGAACTAAAGCACACTGGCAGAGAAGAGAGATAAATAATTAATAGCCTGAGGATTCAAACGCTTCCCATGATTTCAAGAAATCACATGATATGATGTCACATCCATGTCAAACCCGTGTCCTGATGTTTATATCGATCGTAAAATCTTACATCTAGGGGTCTGTGCGCAGATGTCGATATCGATCGTGAGTGCTTTCGTGACATCCAGGGGTCTTAGATTCGTATCTTACATCCAGGGATTTTTAATTGTGCCTCTGAATAGTCGCTATGTAACATTGGCGAGTTATATAAGGGGGTGTTTTGTTAAAATTGTACGGTAGTTTTATATAAGGGTCTGTTCCCAGCTATTGATATTGATATTGATCCCAAATAACACTCAGTAACGCTAAATGTCTGGCAAAATAAACCACTGCAGCCAGAGTGAATGTTGGCCTAGAAGGTGTGCTTCGCAATAAAATAGGTAAAGCATGTCGGACGTCCAGAAATAGTTCACGTATAATAATTTAAGTTGTTTTCGTATCTTCGTATCACCTTAACTTTCGTCAAAGATGGAATAAGATTTGTTTCCAAGTAATCAAACTCCAATTATTCATTCTTATGGATAAGCCTCAGCTAGATTTTGCATCATGATAATCTGTTGCTGTAGTTTTCTCTTGGATAAGTGCATTGTTTATGTACATAATTTTGAATTGGAAAGTCTTAGCACTATAGAACTTAGGAGATCCTCGCAGCTAAGAACACTACTGAACTAGTAGTTGAAAAAAATTCAGGCCCGCACGGGTTTTGAACCCGGCGAAGATCTCTTAATTTCGTTTCTTCACCGCAGTGCAGATATATGAACTTCATATATCTAAATCATCATTCATCTCTTGGATGGTTTATTAGGACCCAACACATTGACCAGCTTCCAGTTGGCATGTTAGCTCAGTTGGTAGAGCGCTGCACCGGTATCGCAGAGGTCATAGGCTAAAATCCCGTACGGGCCTGAATTTTTTTCAGTTCCTATTTTGAACCACTAGTTCAGTAGTGTTCTTAGCTGCGAGTATCTCTTAATTTCGATTATTCACCGCAGTGCAAATATATGAATATAAAATCATCACTACAGAACTTTTTTAAATCTATAGAATTTTCCTTATTTAGCTCTTGGGATTATTGAAGTTTTGAGTTCACTTTGGTGAACTGTGAGACTGTGGCAGTGGTGAGCTGGAGAGTAGGCTGTGGTGTGCTTAATTAAGTTTATCATCGATAAGTATTGTACTGTCTATAGGAGTCGCTCCTTGTCGAGAATATTACTCGCTGTTTAATAAAGCAGTCGAGTTTGTAGGATTGTAGTGTTTTTCTGTCGGTTAGGTCAGTAATACCGTAACATGGCCCCCAGAAAATTTTTAGCAATCGACATGCTACTAATGCAAAATGAATATTTCTTCATTTGAATTAAACACATAAAGCAGTCAGTCAGCAGTAACCGATGAGATCGATTAGAAATTATCGTATCGGATGTGCTTATGGGGTTAAATACTTTAGGTAAACTTTCGATAAGCGTAGAGTACTGTCATCAAAACCTGACTTCATTGATAAGATCAACAAAAGTGTATAGAATGTTAGCTTGGTACCATTCCGCACTATTGATACATTTTAGTTACATACGAATTAATTTGCCCCCAAATAAAAAAAGTTAGATCTCCTACCTATGGGCCGGGTCGCATTACAGACCAATTTTTATTTTGACTTGAAAAAATCGGCTGAAAAAACAAATTGCATCAGACCAGAAATGAAAATATCATTGAGCTTATACGGTTGTATTTCAACAAGTGAAAATGCAAGCGTCAATCACACAGGGGAAATCTGAGCGATGAAATTGTGTTCAGTCACGACACTTGCCATGCGGCCGAAAAGGGTAACAGTGACTCTCAGGTTTTCTTTGTTCAGCGCTCACAACAGGCCAAATTGGGGGTGTGTTTCCCAGGCCCTGAAGGAAGGAATACTGCTCACTTTTTGGCATTTGATGGCCGTAGTTAGGAAAGGGAAAATCTCTGTCTCTGCAGCTTCGAACTGCACGTAATGAAAACGTCAGTGTGAATGATGAAATTTCGCGCTCTTTTTCACGTTCGTGACCTTGCCGTCTATATCGGGAGTCATTCTTTTCAACTGTTGACAGCTTTAGCGGCAGGCTCCCTTGGTTTTTCGAGATTTGGAAAAATTGGTCAGCCCCACCCAAGCACACCGGCGTCTTTGGTGTTTTTCCCGATTTTGAAATTTTAAAAGATCACAAATGAGGGTCGCATTAGAAAACAGATGTGTTGACAACTTTTAGACCCTGGAGTAAACAATTTTCAGCAAAATTGTCTGGAATGCGACCCAGCCCTAGTCTTCTGGGTAAAATTCGAGTTTTTCTTTGAGATTGTTACTCACTAAGTCGAAATGATTACGCAGACCGTAATCGAAAGATCGCTCGAAAACACTCATCAGAGAGAGGGGAAACACGAGCATTTAGAAATGTATCATCGCTCGAAAACTTTCAAGAGTCACTAAACAGAAAGAAAGAAACATTATACACTAATCATCAATTGTAAATTATTGTAATTTACATCATTGAGTTGGTTCACCTTACAACGCACTTGTGTTTTGAACTACTAATCGGATATTTAGAATTAGTAAACCTACCAGCTCGGTGGAATTATATTTACATCAAACGCGCTTAGTTTGGTTCGATTGAAATGAATCCGACGTTTGAAACTTTTGGCGTGCTACATTAAACATAACTGATGCTGTTAGAGCAGTAACACGGTGTTTAGACCTTTTAATTTTCTTAGCATGAATCTCCCAGGATCAAACGCCGAATTCATTTTTGTTGCTTTTAATGAATAAGGGTTAGTCATGTACAAGAAATGTCTTGCAGCTATAATTATTTACACCATTTTTAGGGCTTTTTCTATGATGGTGAAAGTAAAGGCCCACAATTGGTGATATCACAATACATACGATGATTCCACATGCCACCACCAATTTAAAGGAGGATTCTTCCGAGGATTTTCTTGGCACTGAAACGCCGGGTTCTAGAACAGACATAAAAAAGAAAGAACAACAACAACTCTGATGATTAAACCGTAGTAGTTGGATTAGTAGATAATGTAAAAGGGTAGATGGCTAAATGAGTATGAAGATCCGTTTGAAGGTTAATTAATAGGAGTAAAAGTATTCTTACATGTTGGATGGTAACTGATAAAGTGTTTGAACTTGTAATATGTGAAATCACTTGCAGTCTCAGCTCAGGCTACCGGTCCTGAAAAGGGGTCGGTGGGTTTGTAGAGTACATACATACATACATACATATACTTTATTTATGCTCGAAATTCACAGTGTAGCTGTAGAGCTAATATCTTCTAGACTTGTGGGAAATATTTATTGTTAAGATGATAAAAAGCTATTAAAGAAAATAAGTTTCTTCCGTAATTATCGTGTAATTTACCTACAGGCTTACTGGTGCAAAAATACTGTAACTTAGAGGGGGCAAACCAAAAAAAAAAGGAACATTACCTTCCGATGTATCTAGAGATCCTGTACATGTACTTGTTGCTCTCGTATCTGTGGAGACATCTGTCTGTTGTGGAATAGCGGTTTCTGGTGGACCTGTGTATGATAGTTTATGCAAAATCAACTTTAATATCTGGCAGTGTTAAAACTTCGGAAATACAATTGGTGGAGTAAAGAAGTTTAAAGGAGTCGAGAACATAGAATCAGTTCAACAGCTAGACCCCAGATCTCCGCACCCGACACACGTTATCTTCTAAACTGCGCTCTTCCTTGTGGTCTTCAATTATTTCTTCTTTTTTCCGAACAGTATGTTAAAAAAATGTCTTACCACCCCTATGACGCAGCGGCGGTTTATTGACGTTGGTTACCTCAATTCTCGGCAGATCAGGAATGGAACAAAATTGTCTAGATCAATCATCCAGTGACTAAATGTAATGTTTGTCCATTCACTAAGGTAACAGAGCTCGTGTAGTATAACAGTTTTAATTGTATTTATGAAAAAGAAATAACAACAATCTGCAATTACCGCAAAAGGTATTATACTCGCAATTCGTAGTGATCTTGGAAGTACTTTTGACGATTTCTCCTGATAATCCAGTGCGGTCTTGCGATTTCAGGGACCCTTCCGATAAAGGAACTACAACTTTGATCCCGACTGAACAAAAAAATTTCCCTTCAACCTTATCAATTGTTGCCACTATTGAAGATACTTTCATATACCTCTTTTCTGCGGACCCCGTCGTGGAACCCGCAAATGAACCATAATCACTGTAATCTGAAATACAATTTTAGGTCAGAACGAATATTCTCTGTGCTGTCTTGAACGATACTACTTACCTCTGGACTCAACTTGAAGTTGGACCGAGTCGGTCAACGGGGTATTCTGAAGTCCGTATTCTACCACTATTCCATACGTCTTGCCATCTTCAAGTTTTACATTGTAAAGTTCAAACACTGCGACAGAGGATGTCAAATTTCCTGCCCAACCCACGGAGGACTTATATGAAGACCTTGTTGAGGCAAAACCACTCGAGTTGACAGCTATCAACTTTGTTTTCAGGAAGCCAGGACTCTTCCAAATACCAAACACAACCTCAAAAAGATCATTCTTTAGATCTCCTGAATTGTAGTGCCACCTAAATGACACAGTCTCGCCAATAGGGACGTTTATGAACCTTTTTGGAGCAGAGATCATACTTGGATAAACTATAGCATGAATGGAAACTGGAATAGACATGATAAGGCAAAAGTCATTATTGAACGTGGATGTAGGGGGGGGGGGGGAGTCGGAGAAAAGAATGAAAAATCCTCCTCTCCTTAACCCTGGTGATAAATGATGGCTGGTCCTTAACGTTTAAGAAGTCATAAAGGACTTATAAGGTCCAATAACGCTGGGCCTATTTTTTACTGAAAATATATTCTCTTGATTCTTGAGAATCCACCATAATATCGGTAAGTTTCACTCTCAAGAGAAGGCCTTGCGGGTTTTCTTATTCTTTTCTTCTGTCTCTTAATGATTGCACACCTTTCACAGACAGCTCAGTGGCTGACATAACATACTTCATAGGTTGACTAGCACTGTGTCGTACAGATAACAGACACTCCGTCAAGAAGCAACCTTTAGATGAATTCACATCCTTAAGGAAATTCACTTCCTTAAGGAAGTGAACTTATTTCCTTAAGGAAGTCTTGAAAGTACTCTTTTAACTCTCATTTAAAAACAGTTCGAGAAACTGTAGCTCTCAATGTATCAGTCATATCAATTTTTTGCGGTAAAAGCCTATTATAATGATTTACTTTGGTATGATGGGACACCAAACAGATACGACTGAGCCACAAATGTAGCGAGGATGGTTACGGAGAGTGAAATTTATTTCGTAACTGATTTCCATGCATGATCCTTCTTTTTGACGCAATCTTGCTCAGAGGTCTACAGTCACGTCTTCTGTTCAGTTGAAGATCTGCCAAATCCTCAAATTTCCAAATTAACGCAGTTACTCGATTCAAATCACTCCGTACATTAGCTCAACTGCAACGAGGTTACCGTGGTCCGTCAAGATATTGCCTGTGATATATTTAACCTCTTAAATCATAGTTTCAGTTCCGCTTTTTCTCAGAAATGATATTGCCAAAGGGGATCAGTTTCTGAGAAACGGATGCATTTTAACTTAAAGAAACAAATGATTCCAAAATTTCATTTTGAAGACTTCACCCCGATTGCATCAACATAGATAACGGAATCGAATTTCCTGAAGCGTGGATACCTACAATCAAGAAACACAACAGTAGACCGTTACGACAACAGACCGCCGAGGGAACAACTTGGAGTCAGACCTCTTGGAAAATCAGAACTCGTCGAAACAATGGTGTTCGAAATTCACTAATCACATGATGATCGCCGTGATACAAATGATAACGCGTGAGCAGTCGACCCCATCGCCTGATGAAGACTAGCAGAAAGCAGTCGAAAGGTCGTGATCTACATCTCAAGTGACTTCATCGTGAGACAAACGATTAAACAGTTTTTTATGACTTACAACCACGATGAGCAGCCAACCTCTTTTAAAATATATTGTGTTGAACTGTTTGGGTTAACTAGCTTGAGCAACTCAAGCAAGTGAGAGGCCCCAGGAGTCTGTTCAGGAACTTTACTTAGTCTCCGAGACTTTGTCTCTCTTTTACTAATTCAGCCCCAAATACCCGCTCTTAACTACCTTGTCAGTAAGCATGTTTGGGCTTACGGGACAACTGACCTTGGCAAAGAAAATATAAATGTATTTTTAGAACACTGACCAAGACAATCTCACAAGACATTCGAAAGAACAACAAAGTACTTAGCAACGATCAGTCTTCGAGAACAAGAGAGAGCTATAACCTAAACAAAACTCCCTGCCGAGGACTCTAAGGAAGGCCAAGGACAAACCCAAACACGACTCGCGATGACGATTATCGTACGATTATTAAGCCCTACTACAACGATCAAGGACACAACTCTCAAAGGGTAAAAATAAATATGTGGTCTTGCAGCACGTGACAAACCAAGACTCGCACAAGGATTTCAAGATAATCTAACAGACCTAGCACTTAGTTAGAACAATTTTAGTATAGCTCATAACAATTGTCTCGAAATCTTGAAGAACGGTGTCACCAGTTTGCCACACACTGTGTAGTAGCAACTGTAAAGTTAAAATTGAAAATATGGCACTTAAATATAAATAATTCATCCCATATTGAAATAGTTTGAATATTGTCTGGAAAGGTGCGCCATGCCTTCAATTGTCCCGTGTGAGCATATTTCCTCTGCATATTATTCGCTTAGTTTCACTTCTTAACGATCGACTTCCGCTTCGTAACTCTTCTGAAGTGTGATATACACTAATGCTCCGAAGTTCGCATTTATTATCATATTTCGTCCGGAAAAAGACATCGTCAATCTTAAATGTCGTTTCAGCATTTTGCGTAAGGCTTTTGACCTGCTTATTGATAAAACGCGGTTTGAAAAATACTTGAAATATAGCATTCTTCTTCTGTTCTTCAGGTTTCTGACCGACGATCATTTAGGACACCGAGGTAGGACTGTTAATTGGCCGACATAAAATCATGTTCGAAAGCTCATTAACTCCTACGCGAAAAACTGTTTGGCTTACCTGTAACGAAGTGAATCACAAGATAACAAATCCAAAGTATCGAAGGTTTCTTCATCGCTTTGATTAATACAATTTAAAACAAATGAAATAGTTCAAATACGATTATAACGAACCAAGCTACACAGAGAAATGAAAAGAAGTGTAAAAAGCTAATTTTGCCTAGAAATCATGAAATAAATTACTAATTTTGATGCCGCAAATTTAAAGGAAAAAGCAGCAGCATACTCTTCACGTGTTTATCGGGAGCCACTCACATTGCAGAAATGTATTGAAATAAATATGCAATCATTACGGATTAATAACCACGCAACGTTTGTGATATCTCATAAGAATATTTCCCGCCTCTCGGCCCACTAAACATTGCATCACTTATTCGATCTCGAGTTTCTGTCTAATTCCTAAATTTCCAAGATCTATTAGCTATTTTACTTTTTTTACGGTGTATTTTGATAGAAACTTTCGACTGAAAATGATAAACAATACCAGACGGTGTTTCTGAGACCGCGTATGGCGACAGTCGCTTTCCACTTTCTTTGATAATTCTCATTACTCACCTGTTTCGTGTCTCCATATCAAACTTTGCCTATTGTTATGGCTTAATCTGGGAAACTGACACTTTTTAGAAAATGAAAGGTGCTTCGTTGTTAGTTTCGCTTTCGCTACTTCCGCCTCAATGCAACTTACATCTATTTTGACCAAATTACCGCATTCTCCTTCTACTAAAGTTTCCCAACATTTGCTTGCAGTTTGTATCATCTTTTGTGTCTAAGAGGGGGCATTGTAAAATTCATTATGAAGAGCTTCCTTTAAAATATTGAGCCACTCACTTCGCAGTCACTTCCTCGTAAGAATATATTCTAAAGCAACGTGCAGAAGATAACATTTTCAAAAATATCCTCAACATCAACATCAAACCCATGTCAATCTTACCTGTGTGGCACAGAACAACCACACAAAGGATCGAAGGTGGAAATGCTTTCATCGTCAAGATAAACAAATGCTGCTCTGCTTTTGATGTGTCAGGGTAATTAGTCGGGCGACCGACTATAGGTTTACCCTCGGGTTTCTCCACAAAGCTCAGTTACGTGCAATGGGGAATACCGCAGACACGTAATAGAGGCGCAACCTTCTTTCCACCGTGTCGAACATGGCGGATTTGTCGGATATCTTAGCGAATGGTGTCATCTTTTCTACGCTCAAGCATGCAGATCCACACACCGTTCGCGGTAGACCCACTCTAAAAGATGGCTTGTATAATGAGCGTATATTTCGAAACGGGTTGTTCCGCGAACTCAAAATAGAAAAAGAATCAAATGATTTAGCGAAGGTCTCACTAGAATCTATAAAAGCGGGAACCTTCAAAAGCGGGAATCTTTAAAACGGGGAATCTTTAAAAGCGGGAAGCTTGAAACGGAAAATCTTTAAAAGCGGGAATGTTTAAAACGGGGAATCTCTAAAAGCGGGAATCTTTAAAAACGTAATATTTTTTTTGCAGATGGCAGTGTCACTCGATTATCATTTCTTTTATCAGCCTGAAAGATAAGTCAGTTATCAGCCCTGTAAGCAACTATGATTGAATACTCTTCGTCGTCGTTGTTTCTTAGAAATGACGTGTCCGCGAAATTATTTGCATTCGTCTAAAAGCAGATTCCCTCCCCCCTTATTGGCGGTAAATTGTCGGTCAATTTCTAAATAAATAAAGGGGGTAAGTTTCTAAAGAAACTGTGGTGATGCTTCGGTGGGAGAGTATAATAGGGTGATTTTGTATTATCAACTAAGTTGATAACGTAAATTGGCCACCGTAAAGAGTTAAAAGGCTGACCTTTCGAGCGTCATAAACCCTAGGCGCAATCCACAATTTCTCCAATCACTCTGACAAAGGGCTAACGCTCGAAACGTCAGCCTTTTAACTCTTTAAAGTGGCAAATTTACGTTATAAACTCGGCTTGCCTAAATCTATATATTATTCTATTATGCTCATGAAATTGATATCATTGAAAGACGTGCGGGCCATGTGTATATTCTATTGTACTTATAAGGTGATATCACTGAAAGACGTGCAGGCCATGTGCATCGACAAGAACAAATTTATTTTCTTTTTGACGGAGTGTCTGCCATCTGCACGACACAGTGCTATTCAACGCAGGAAGTATGTTATGGCCAGCTATTGAATAGTCTGTGAAAGGTGGGCAAACCAAAGAAAAAGGGGACAACCACAAGGCCTTACATTGAGTAATTTTTGAGTGAAACTTACCGATATCATGGTGGATTCTAAATAATCAAGAGAATATATTGCAGGAAAATGTAGGCCTAGGGTCATTGAAGCTCGATAAGTCCCTTATCACTTCTTTGCCATAAAACGTTAACTCTTACACGTGTGGAAGACTCGACTTGGATTCCCTCAGAAAAGAAAAAGGGAAGAGCGTATTCAATATCCGTGAGGAAGCTTCCATGTCTGGAGGATGAACCTTGATCATTTCCATGTTAGGAAACTGATACAGTAAAGCTGCATAGAAAACTTTGTTTTTTCACCGCAGCTCGGAAAGTGAAACCAGAACTGCATCTCCTGACCCAGTTGACCAGCTCGTCACAGATTTTTGTGTGTTAAGTCATGTTCCCATATCACTGGAACACTGTAAAAGGAAAATGGTAGCAGCTTGAAGGTTGTAATTTCCTTTTATGAAGCGGCCTTGCTGCCAGACAGTGTGTTACTTTCACTTTACCGAATTTGGAACTTGACCCAATGCAAATATCGAAGAGCAAAACACTGCTTCAGTTGACTGATTCAAAGTCATGACCAATGATTTCCGTCACAATTCTAAGAAAAATGTAAACAAATTAACCTTTGGGTCAACATGGCTAAGAGGGTATACCAAAATAACCGGATCGAACGGCTGACTGACGTTCTGCGGAAATGTAAACGAGAAACCGTCTAAAGTCCTTTTTTTTTCCTCGAAACATGGTTGCTTTCCTTTCTGCCCACTTATACCTGCTCCATTGGCGATCATATGTGCTTAGGGATATGTTTGAAGACATTAAAACAACACTTTAAGAGTGTGGATAAGCTACCACTTCCTTGCTTATCAAGTTTATATCCGACTTATCGACCGTTTGAGCTAAATGCTCGGTAACAAAGAGTGACTGTTTTTGTCGGAGAATCTGAACTTGCACCAAGGAGCACCCGATAAACTCACTGACGGCTGAATGAACAAAATGTACCGATGGCCGAAAGAAGTCCTTTTTGTCTTTTGTCTTTTTGCAGTAACAGGTAAGCGTAGGTGTATGATATAGTAGCTAATAGTTTGTATTTATTCATTAAGAGTTAAGGAAATTAATTCGTTTCAAAGCGACCTCACCCCAAAATCATGAGGTTTCGATCTGTAGTTAAGCTATCCAATCTATGCAATCTAATATTTGCAATTTTGTTCACTATTAATTGAATAACAGGTTCCTCAAGCATTCAGCACAAGAACACTTAATACTTGTAAAAGGGAATGTATTTAGTAAGTTCGAGGCGGATTTTTCGCACTGCATCTAGCCATCAAAAGCAGCTTCCTCTTCCACTTTGTATACATGAAATTCAGTAAATCGAAATGTTCATGCAAGTATGCCGAATCAGTATTTAGGGCAGGAGAGGGAAATCAACAAAAATAACGACATATTTAGGTATATAATGCATTATCTTTCAAAGAGTCGTGAATAGCAAATAACAAGAAAGGGAATGCCAAAATCCATTCACTTTACTTCCCTTTACAACATGTTATCTAATAGATAAGTAACGTGAAAAGGCAAACTTATCAGGTATCAGACTAGCAGATAATATATCAAGCAACATGAATTTAGCTAAAGTTAGCTTTTTCACAAGAAAATGTATAACAACCAGAAGACAGAATGTCCACTGAATGAGATCTCTTGAGGTGAATTTAGCCCCTGACTTAGGCCTTCAACCACTTCAGGGAATCCTGAAGGCGTTGAGATTCAAAGGACTATAATTGGAGAAAAGAGCTTAAAATTAATTAAATAATAGTGGTTTTGTGATGCTTTGAGCAACTGAGGAGGGCGAGAGCGTTCGAAAACTCCCGCGATAGCTGGGGTCTCGAGATTTTGAAAGCGGTGTTTCGAGTTGTTGTTCTGTACAAAGACCAGTGCCGCTGTTTACCTTGTAATAAGCTTTTCGTGAGATATCAGATTACGAATTAAGTGCTCTTCCGCTACATTTATTTTTAAATTGCATGTTGTGTCTATACCGTTTGAATCAAAACATTTCTGTTAGGACAAATAGATATTTAGTACAAGCATTTTGCTGTATGGAAATATTATTTCTGAACATCCGTTCGACTAACTAAGTGAAAGTGACCTTTGGGTACAAAATTCAATAAACGAAGAAAATTATGTCGTGACTGATCCATGTTCCCTGCAAATTTCCTGGCTTTACAACAGAAAGATGGCTTTCAAACTTGACATAATTTTCTTATCTTATAGCCAAGAAAGGCAACTAAAAGATCCGAAATATAGCTTTAGTTCACCTTAAACTGAACCTCTTCATTTCTAGGAAATCTGGAGTCAGTCAAGCGTTACTACTTAGAAATATTGATAAAATTTCGCACTTATCCTTTTCCATTTTCTTATGGATCGAAAATAACTAAAATAACTTGGGCAAATAATAGTATTTGAAAATATTTTATGCTTCTACGCACTACAAAGGTGGTTCATATGAACGTATAATGCATCTTTCGTCGGGCAACAGATAACGCACGTTTTAAAATGATATCTTGTTGTAAGAAGGAAAGAGGTACGGTTATATCAGCAGCATTTATGCGACACTCAAAATTTTCTAGGAATCTGAACCTCATTATATTCGTCTGCAGTGATCCAGTCGCTTCAGGTATATCAATTGTTTACAATAGCGCTTTCTTGGAATTAATGCATACGAAATTAAAATCATTGACTGTATTCAGAAACCAGAATCTGTTTTGGTTCTTGTAGAGTACTTCGAAAACATTTATATCGCCCTTTTACGGTGTACTAAAAAAGAAACTATTGGCCGAAAATATAAAACAATAATAGAAGGGGTGTTTGCTTCTGCATGAAGCGACATTCGCTTTAGGATTCCTTCGCTAAAGCCATTTAATTTACACATCTGGTTTACTGGCAAACTGGCGTCGTATTCAAAGCGAAAAAGGTGCCGTGTTATGCCCTTCACGTTCACTAGGTCGTTTGTGTCTAAGGGGGAGGATTTTAAATAACAGTTTAACGAGGTCTTTTAAGGATATTGAATCTCTAGCTCCGAAATCAACCTTAGAATATCGAAAACTGTAGATTTTGTGTTTTTCAGTTTCCTTGTAAAAATGATCGCCGCCAAAATGCTCGGTTAGTACAAAGTATAACGTAGGGTGGATAATATTTTCAATAGCATTCAAATTCCCAACACAACAACGACAGATCTGATATTAAACTTACCTGTGAGGGACTGAATCACAACGTAAAAGGATCGAAAGTTTAAATGCTTTCATCATTACGATAAACAAATGCTGCTCTGCTTTGTATATCCTTGGGTATTCAAGCTTAGTCGTTCCTTCTCCAGAAACTAAGCCAAAAAAAACTCGAAAATGCACATAGCCAACAGCAACCTTATCTTTACGATTCAGAAATTTGAATGAACTGATGATTTTTCAATGAACACTGCATAGCATTTTGCAGAGAGTCAAAAGCTTCCCATGATTCCGAGAATTCACGTGATATTCATGACTGAGCAGATGGGCTTCAAATGGCTTAAGGGGTCATTACCATTCTAAAGCCTGTCGTCAGGACCAGCATCTGATGCATCCACCGCTTGTCAATCGATCAATTAGTCATAAAAAGGTGTTACTTTAGGACCTATACTTTCATATAGTCGTACTCTGATATTGCAAAAGTTGCATAACATAAAACAATGATCCTGATCAATATATTTTATGATAATTAGTCAATAACACGAGATTCTAAGAATCGCACGCTGACATGAGCAAATCAACATGATCAAGACATTATTCTAAGGCTCTGAGCGGACTTGCACCGAGCTACATGAAGAATTACGTGAGTTACAAGAGTTCGAGTCATGAGGAAAGATCCTAAAACAACCGGCTCCTTGACTGGCCTTGTAGCATAAAACGTATGGGTATAGGATGGGACGTACTCGGTGGCTGCATGGACTGAAGCTATATTAGACAATTATCATCGGTAGCATTGACCAAAACTAAGCTAACGACTTATCTTTTAGATGGTACATGTTCTTCGGTGCAGGTTATGTAGATTCAGTGGTATTCAAAGCCATGTAAGGCTAGTGAAGTGTGTTTAAAGAAATCTTTACTGGGATTTGCCGATGCTTACTCCTGAATTTTGCTGAAATTGACGGTTATAATATTATACTGCCCAATATTATTGATGCCAGTAAAACACATGCGGGTCATGTGCATCGATCGGCAAGAAAAAAATCCTTGAGGAAGTTTCATTGTTAAAAGATGAACCGTGATCATTGCCTTGTTAGGAAACTGATACAGTTGTTTACGAAACTATGCTTATTCACTCAGGCCGGAAACTGAAATCAGGACTGCTTCCCCTTATACAATTGACCTGCTTGTTATATAAAGATTTTTGTGTGTTAAGTCATGTTTCCATATCACTGGAACACTGTAAAAAGAAGATGGTGGCAGCTTGAAGGCTGTAACTTCCTTTTATTGAGTGGCTTTGCTGCTAGACAGTGTGTTACTTTCACTTTACTAAATTTTGAACTGAAGCCAATGCAAATATCATACAGCAAAACAATGTAAAACACTCCTTCAGTTGACTGATTCAAAGGCGTGACCAACGATTTCCGTCACAATTCTAAGAAAAATATGATAGTCTGAGAACAAATATAAATCTTTACGTCAATATGGCTTAGAGGGTATACTAAAATAACCCGGTCGAATGGCTAATTGACTTTCTGCTGAAATGTAAACGAGACAAAAGTTCATAGAACCGCCTCGAGTCGTTCTTCTTTTCCTCGAAACACTCTACCCACTCACTTCTGCTCCATTTTCGATCATGTTCGCCAAGGTATATGCTTCAAGACGTCAAAACAACACTTGAACAGTTTAGATAAGGCATTACTTCCTTGCTTATCAAGTATATCTCAGACTTATTGACCGTTTAAGCTAAGAGCTCGGTAACAAAGAGTAACTGTTTGTGCCGGATAATCAAGACTTGCACCAAGAAGCACCCGATGAACTAACTGACGGCTGCATGAACAAAATGCACCGATGGCCGAAAGAAGTCCTTTTTGTCTCCTGTATTTTTGCAGCAACAGGTATGCGTAAGTGTATGATATAGTAGCCTAGTTTGCATTCATTCAATGGAATTAATTTGTTTATTGAAAGCGACCTCATTACCAAAATCATGTGGTTTCGATCTGTAGTCAAGCTATCCCAACTATGCAATTTGATATTTTCAATTTTGTGTACCATTAACCGATAACAAGTTCCTCAAGCATTCAGCACAAGAGCAATTCCTAATTGTAAAGTATTTAGTAAGGTCCAAGCGCATTTTTCACACTGCATCTAGCCATCAAGTGCAGCTTCCTCTTTCACTTTGTATACATGAAATTCAGTAAATCGAAATGTAAATGCAAGTATGCCGAAGCAGTATTTAGGACAGGAGAGGGAAATTATCAACAAAAAAATCAACAACAACATATTTAAGTGCATAATGCAGTATCTTTCAAAGAGTCGTCGATAACAAATAACCAGAAAAGGAAGTGTCGTGTGTTATCTTCCTGCATTCGCGCGTAATTAATCCGACTCATCATAAGGAGTCCTTTACACTTTACTTTCCTTAACAACAACATGTTATCTGGTTAATAAGTAACGTGAATAGGTAAACTTATCAGGTATCAGCCTAGCAGATAATATATCAAGAAACATGACTCTAGTTGAACTTAGCTTATTCACAAGAAAAAGTATAACAACAAGAGGACAGAATGTGCATTAAATGAGATATCTTGAGGTGAATTAAGCCTCTGACTCAGGCCTCCAACCACATCGGGGAATCCTGGCAAAGGAGCTGAGAATCAAAGGACTATAACCCGAGAAAAAGGCTTGAAATTAATCGACGAATAGTGGTTTTATGATGCTTTGAGCAACTGAGGAGAGCGAGAGCATTCGCAAACCCCCGCGAAAGCTGGGGTCCCGAGATTTTGAAAGCGGAGTTTCGAGTTTCTACACAGTCTAGTGCCACTGCTTACCATGTAATGAGCTTGTCGTGAGATGTCAGATTACGAATTAAGTGCTCTTCCGCTCCATAATTTTTAAATTGTATGTTGTGACTATACCGTTTGAATCAAAACATTTCTGTTTAGACAAAGAGATATTTAGTAAAAGCATTTTGCTATATGGAAATATTATGTCTGAACATCCGTTTACTAAGTGAAAGTGACCTTTGGGTACAAAATTCAGTAAACAAAGAAAGTTATGTCGACTGGTCCATGTTCGCGACAAATTTCCTAGCTTTACAACAGAAAGGTGGCTTTCAAACTTGAAACCATTTTTTATTTTATAACTAAGCAAGGTATCCAACGGATGCGAAATAGCTTAAGTTCACCCTGAACTTCACCTCTTCATTTCTAGGAAATCGGGAGTCAATCGAGCATTACTACTCAGAAATGTTGATAGAATTGCGCACTTATCACTTTCCATTTCCTTATGGATCGATGGTCGTTTTATACTCAAGACGTATTATTCCTCTAAAAGAACTTGGGGAAATAATAGTATTTGCAAATATGTCATGCTTCTACAGAGTAGAAAGGTAGTTCATCTGAACGCATAATGCGGCTCTTTGAAGGAGAGACCTGCATTACGCGTTTAATACATCTTGAAGATGCAATACAAGGTTAGTCCATATGAACACATAATGAATCTCTTTGTTTAAAGGCGGGCAAAGCACGTTTTAAAATGAGGTCGTGTATAATTAGAAAAAGAGCCACAGTTATGTGCTTGAAGTAAATGGGCTCCTTCACGATTGGTCTTTAAAGTCGCTCAGAAGAAATTCAATTGTTTTGTGATACCCTCAGTCTTTCTTTGAGAGAAGGTTCATCTCAGATTTGGTATTTATTCATCATCCATTTTCTGTTTCTTAACTCCCCAGGACATCATGCTCGTTTCTGTTTCTTTTTGAAATCATGGTCTTCGTAGCGACTTCTTTTTCTTTTCCTTTGCCAGAACCAATTTCACAACTTCCAACACGGCCGAGACTTCATTGACCACGGCGACTGTTCGTTTTAATTTGGCCGCCCATAATACTATGAATTATTCGTCTCTCGTGGTTTGTCTTTTTATGCGTTCCGGCTTAATATTAGACGCATCACATGAAAAACGCTTTGTCCAAAAAGGCAAAAGCCAATAAAATAATTGTCATTTCCCAATTTATATTTAATTGTTGAATTGTTAAATAACAGATCAACTAATAATCATTTGCTGAGCCCGAAAGATCTTCAACCTAGAAATATACCTAAAAAATATTACCAGTATTAGACAATCATCCAGAATCATTGACTCAATCAAAATCATTGAGGGGGAATTATAAGGATGCTACAGAGCCTTTATGGGGGATCAGGTAGATTTTATTGTAACGCAACCAAAATTTTCCCTTCCCTTTCCCCCTTGCGATAAATAAAGACCGATGCCTTGCAATATCATTTACAGGATCCATTCAAGCTATAGTTTATCCAAGTATAATCTCTGCTCCAGAAAAGCCAACAAAAGCCTTCACCGGCCACACTGTGTCATTAAAGTGGCATTACAATTCAGGAGATCTAAAGAATGATCTTTTCGAAGTGGTGTTTGGTATTTGGAAGAGTCCTGGCTTCCTGAAAACAAAGTTGATAGCTGTCAACTCAACTGGTTTTGCCTCAACGAGGTCTTCATATAAGTCATCTGTGGGTTGGGCAGGAAATTTGACATCCTCTGTCGCAGTGTTTGAACTTTACAATGTAAAACTAAAAGATAGCAAGAAGTATGGAATAGTGGTGGAATATGGTCTCCAGCATACCCCGTTGACCGACACAGTTCAGCTTCAAGTTAGTAAGTAATATCGTTGAAGACAACTCGGAGTATGTTGGCACTAACTCAAAATTGTACTTTTGGTTGCTGTCATTATGGTTCATCTGTAGGTTATAAGACGGAGTCCGCTGAAAAGAGGTACATGCATGTCTCTTCAATGAAGGCACCAATTGATAAGGTCAGAGGGTCATTGTTTTGTTCTATCGGGATCAAAGTTAGAGTTCCTTGACCGGAGGGGCCCCGGAATTATCAAAATAAATCGATAAAGGTTATTTCTGGTTACATTTTGTTACAGTAAGATTGATCCAGATAAATTTGTTTGCAGCCATGCCTGATCTACCGAGAATCACGAACGTCAGTAAACCGGCGCCGCTCAGGAAAGGACAGAACGTGAACCTTACATGTATTGCCCAAGGCTTGTCGCCTGTTCAAGTCATGTGGAAAAGAAATGACAAAGTATTAGTCAGCGGTACTTCTAAAGCCATATTGACCCTAAGAAATATTACAGCTGAGGACTGCGGCGATTACGTTTCTGTCGCTAAAAACACCGCCGGAGAAGATACTAGGACTGTTATCCTACTCGGTAAATGGTTTCCCATATGCTTGCCAGACAAAGTTTCTTAAGGTGATTCCTCAATAAAAAAAGTTATCGCACAATTTTTTTAAACTTTAGATAAGTCACCGTGCTTGTTTAGGAGATATATGCGTCAGGTACTGGCACTAATCACACGCGTCATTTCACAGGTTTATGGTATATATGGTGCAGCTGGAAGGAAGGGTTTTCAAAGTAACACGTAAAAAAAAACTTGATAGGTAGAAATTCTCAAGCGTATGGAACAATTTGGTTCATAGTTTGTGGGAAAATTACGCAAATTTAAACGATATTGACTCAAAACGTTCCACGAGTCGTTCCTTTCGAGTTCATGATTTGTATTGGGCTTCGAGCACGCTTTTAGCTTTATCTTTTTTCCGTTCAAGTTTTTTTTTTTGATTTCCCTAATTTAAAGGGGATAATTTTTTCATCAAAATTATGTAATAAAAATATAGGTCACCTTCCTCATTCAAGAGCTGAAGACCATAGTACCTCTTTAAATATACCGTGTTCTCGGAATGCGCGCGCGCTCATTCCCCTAATTACATGATTCTTATGCGCAATACAGGATGCGCAGTGCAATACTGAGGAATCACCTTAGGATGAAGCTCCGAGCGTTAGCCCTTCGTCAGAGCCCTTCGTTCTGACTCTCGAAAGGTCAGCTTCAGAAATTCCTTATACGATGGCCAATTCATACGGCATTATCAATTGTCAAATCCCTAACTGACGCAGCACTACAGTTTCTTTAGGAACTTACCCCCTTTAACGCAAGGCAAACCGACTACCACTGGTCTCGTTGGTCCTTCTAGCAGATCACATAGATAGTCAAAGAATTTCCCCATAAATCATTCTTGTTATGTCAGTTTTGCATTGCGTTCAATGCTCAAATATGGATCCTAAAATTCCTTCACATTGATTACCTGACGAGCTAATGAATACACCTTTGACCGTTGCCCTTCATTCTATTTCCCCTGGAATTCCTCATAAACAACTAATTTTCCTGCTTGAAACAGTACTTCCGGAAAGCCCAACTATACTGAATTCAGACAAAATAGTGACCAGTCCCAACTGGACGCTACGATGGTCAGCGGTTGAAAGTGAAGGAGAGCTGCAGATGACGTATACAGTTTGGCAAAAACGTGATAGTGAAGAATCATGGCAACTGGAAAATGTTACAAGAAACATATTTCACTTTGGACTTGAGGATAATACATCTTACTCGTTCGTGGTGAAAGCTTGGAACAAATGTGGAGACAGTATGTTGGACAGAGACAAAATGCTGAACATATCCACCGACTTTGAAAACAAAGTTACACAAGGAAACTTCATATCTCGCGAAACAGTTCCGACAGAAAACATGGTTCCGACAGGTAAGAAAATGGGTAAAAAAAAATCATCATTACTGCCCTATATGTTTCTTCTTAGTCAGTTTATTTTCGGTCAATAGGTCACATAAAAGTTTGCAGGTACATGGTGGCTGCCATCAGACTCAATTTTGCTCATAGGCGTAATTGTGTACCTGAACGTTTCATGGTTATCGTAGACAAAATGCCACATAAACATGAATGACTTTAAAGCCCAGAAATTGGGTTGTTTTGTAGGTGAATGTAGAGAGAGACTACGTGACTGAATCTTCTTGGCCAAGAGCATTAAGCTGGGGAGGGGAAGAGGCACAAAGTAATGACCGCGGTTTGGCTCAAAACAATGGACATGCCAATCTAGTGAACCAATCAAAACCTCACCCCATTTCCTAGATGTTAACTGTTTTAAATTTCATTCGACAGAGACTGAGACTACACTGACTCCATTCTCCCGCAGTGGACAAATAGACGTCGATTCCTCGTGGAAAATTGATTTCATCATTTTAATAGTAGTGGGCATCATAACTTTAATGTTTATTGCAATTGTGGTTCTGCGGAAAAAAATTATCCAAGACAAAGAAGATGGTCAAAGTAAGTAACTTAAAGCGTGCCCTTTGATTGAATGTCGTAAGACAAAAGCTGTAATACATGTTATAACAGAGGCTAATCAGGAAAAAGGATAATTTTGTATTCATATGAAATGGAGTCACCTAGAGTTCAAAACAAAAACAGGCAAATTGCCTCTAAAGCAAGAAAACACAATTCATTCGAGCCGCCATTGATTTTAGTTTTGCATCTGATTGGTTGGGGAGTTATTTTAGAACAATCGCAGAGCAGAGTGAAGTAAACCATTACAATTTAGATATTTTTTAAACAATGTATGCCTTATAAATCAGTTACAGACAGCTTAACCATCAATGATGAAGAAGACGAGGATAAAGCTTTCAGTCTTTTGAAGACGTGAAATCATGTTAGAGTCAAAGGGAACGAAAAATCTTCGTTAAAAAGAGTAACAATTTTTCTATTTTTCTCTCCAAAATTCCATAGGACCCTTAGATTTGTGGAACGGAGGGTAAGTATTTAGTGGCGAATTAATCTTTACGAGGCATTATTTCAATATCTTTCTGTCTCCTATCAACGGGAAACTGAAGAAATTTAATCATATTTAATCATATGATATTCAGCTTTTTTTAATTTTGTAGATTCGCTTGAAAAAGTTGAAGTACATCGAGCTAGACATCAAAAAATATATGTATTAATAATGGTAATAGGACCGTATGGAGTCCAATTC